GAGGAGAGCCATTTGTTGGTCTCTCTCTCTCTCCCTGTCTCTTATACACATCTAGATGTGTATAAGAGACAGGAATAACGGAGGAGGAGGAGGAGGTAGTAAGGAGAGAACAGGGACGACACGTGGCGGGTCGTGTCCCCCGATCTCACCCTCGTCGGGATCTGGCAAGGGTGTGGCCAACAAAGAGTCCAGCGATTCGATCTTACACCACTTGCAAATGGTATCATCGAGGGAGAGGGTAGATTTACGTGGGCGGGTTGTGGACGTTATTTGTCGTCGGGAAGGAATGCGAGTAAGTGCGGATGAGGAAGATCAAGGCGAGGAAGGCTGCAGCAAATGCGTGGTTCTGTTCGACATCTTCATGCTCGCTGAGCTCTGGTCTAGCCGGCCGTTCTGGAAAGGGGGCTTATTCGCTTCTAGTGTCTTCTCTCACGTAAGGTGCGAGATTGATCATTTTCCATTTTCGTTGTCTACAGGTTCTTCTCCCTCATCTTCTAGTGTCTTCTTCTTCTTCTAGCGTCTTCTTCTTCTTCTAGTGTCGTCTTCTTCTAGTGTCTACTTCTTCTAGTGTCTTCTTCTTCTTCTTCTTCTCATTTTTGGTGTCTTGCACGATCTTATCCTACCGCATACTCGAATAAGGAATGACGTGGCAGAATGACGTGACCGAAAGACAGGCAGAATGACGTGGCCGATGGGTAGATTAATGATGGCGCATGGTAACGCAGTCGGCAAATGACGACGGATTGTCTAGATGCAGGTGTAGTATGGGACCGCATGTATAGGAGCGCCATTGGCCCCTGCGTTGCCAGGTGGAATGACCTTTATATGGTTTTGAACCCTGCATTCTTATACGTCTGCAAAACAGAAGGTGATGATTTAGGGAAAGTGGGTTAGGCAGCAGTGCATTCGCAGGGAGAAGGGGACTTGCTAGTATTTAAGAGAAAGAAGGAAACCTTCCCCTCGGTTGCGGTTTAAGGATTATCTACATAAAATCACGAACTTCCAGGTGGCGCCGCTGATAGCTAGCGGGGGAGCTTTTTCTCCCTGCGATGGACTTCCGTTTCTCCGTTGTGATCACATCAGGATCAGTCTGCTCCTCAAGGCGTGACGAAGCAATGCCCGCCCTAAGTGGAAAACCCAAAAAATTCATGGTGTCTGTGGTTAAGTATAGATGGGCCTGTAAGCTGTATGTAAGTGAATGGACTTTGTAACAGCGATAGGTTTAGAGGTGTGTGGGAGCGCAGGGGCACATGCGGCAGGCAACAAGTGAGAGAGGTGATGAGAGAGAATAGCGCAAGGAAGCTCCTCGGTCTGACCTCCTTTATACGCGCTCGGAATGGCCATTCGCGAGGGTGTCTGGGACCCTCGCGGGAGCCATGGTGTGGCTACAACGGGGGGTTGGAATTGGCTAATGAACCCCCCGTCGGTCCCCAGAACGGGGTTGTGGAGGCCAAAGGAAAAAAAAAAAAAAAAAAAAAAAAAGCCAGGTTGGAGGCAGGAAAGCGGTGTCTGCTCATACCAGCACCTCTAGCACCGCCCGATTTAAAAAAAAAAAAGGTTGAGGTAGGAAAAAAGCGAAAAGGAAATATAGAAGGCGGCTGGAGGCTATAGGCGGGGGGGGAGGGAAGGGAACTGCGTTGTTGCTGACAGCTCGCAGAACATCACTAACAGATCCTTTTGATTGCAATGATATCTGAGGGAATCGATGGCCCTGCGGAGAGGGGGGGAGAGGGGGGCAGAGGGCTGTCTCTTATACACATCTAGATGTGTATAAGAGACAGTCTGGAGGCAGGGAACTGAAAGTTAAGTATCCTTTCCCCTTTATAAGCCCAGCTATAATCCCTATCTGTACTAACCATTGCATCCTTGACGAGTATATGGTGTGCAGCCTTACTTTGACCTTTGTTTGACTTTCAGGACACTGAATCAGATCAAGTAAAGGAATGTTTGCTCAATCTTAGTTTCAACTTTGTTGATTGTATGAAAGCAGACTGTTAAAAGGAAATGCATCTGGGGGAAGGCTGGATGGGAAAACTATTTTGCATGAGGGTTGACTAGGCCATTAAGGCTGGGAAGTCCCCATAAGTTTTGGGAGACCCAGTGCTATGTTTATTTTGGCTTGAGTAGAGCGTCAGACCCTTCTATAAGTTTAGGGGGTCTGATTGCTCTGAAGGCTGGGAAGTCCCCATAAGTTTGGGGAGACCCAGTGATGTGGTTTGCATGGAGGGTCAGGCTGTTCTATAAGTTTAGGTGACCTGACTGCTCTGACTTGGGAGGGCTGACTGGGGTTGACTTTTCATGGTCCAAGTGCATTCTGTAAGTTCAGGTGCCTTGGTCGCCTTGTTTATTTTGGGTTTTCCCAAATTTATTTGGTTCTGAATGAGGAGGTCTAAGCCGTTCTATAAGTTTAGGTGACTTAGTCTCTTCATGCTTTTATTATGAGATAATGAACCTGACAGAGGGCAGATCATTCTGTAAGTTCAGGTGATCTAGCCCAATGTCACGCACAGCTGGATCAGGTGGAGAGCCAGACTGTTCTGTAAGTTCAGGTGGTCTGACTCAAAGCCCCGCACATGCTGAAACCCAAAGGTTATAACTTGGCTATATCCTATTATTATTCTATTTAAGAACAGGCTAGTCAGGCCGTTCTATAAGTTTCGGTGGTCTGACTATAGCCTATCACAACTTTAAGAGAGTATAATTAAGAATATAACTGGTGGTAAGTTGGGGCAGGTTGAACTTAAGTTAGTTCAGTCCTATGCAGCCTTAAAAGACAAAGGGAAGACAGATATATATAATTTGGATATTTTAAACAGTTCAGAGCGACTAAAATGATCTAGTCATATGCCCAAAGAAGAAAAGAAGTAGTTGTGTCCTTTGTTTTGTGTATATTCAATGGCTAAGTTAGGCACATTCCATAAGTTTGTGTGGCCTGGCCTTATGCCTTATGTAAGCTGGGTATAAGGGGATAAAGCATTGAAAGATCATGAACTATTGTTTGTTCAGGTATACTTTGGGATAACGATAGTACTTACCTTTGTGGTTTGGCCTGCATGTGACTGAGTGAGGCTAATACTTGGTTTGAGTTTCAGTTTGATGGGTAGTTGCTTTAGTTATTCGCCACGTGCTAGAGCGATAGGAGTTAGCTTCAATTTCTGCATTTTCTGTAGTAACGTTTTTTTACCTAGATCAATTATTGCATTTTCTGGGATCTTTTTTTATGCTTGGCTTTGTACAAATCTTGGCAAGCTACTTTCTCTACGGGAAGTGCTGCCGAAATTTCTACAAATCCAAAAAGTTAGTCAACTTTTGACTTGTCAGAGTTTAACTTGTCTTTTTTTTATATCTGAGTTAGTAAAAATCTGTAAAGTCTCCCTTTCTAAAGGAAGTGTTATCCAAATTTTTGCTAATTCAGGGAGTTAGACAAAATTGAACCTTGAGAAGTCAAAGTTATTCTCAAATTCTGGACTTAGCTTTCTATAAATTTTGACAAAGCACTTTTCTAAAGGGAATGCTGCCAAAATTTCTGCAAAACTAAGGAATTAGCTAAATCTTGTCTAAGTTGAACTCAAGTTGTCTTTGAAGTTTATATCTGACTTAGTATAAATCTGGAAAGTCTTCCTTTCTAAAGGGAGTGTTGCCCAAATTTTTACTAATTCAGGGAGTTAGACAAAATTTGACTTTCCAGAGCTAAAGATTATTTCTGCTTTCATATTTGAAGTTATATAAATTATGGAAAGACACCTTTCCTATGGAAAACGCTGCCAAAATTTTCTTAGTTTAAAGGAGATAAATTATATTTTGACAGGTGGCAATTCTGGTAGTCCACTCTGAATATGAGAGATTTTGTCATGAGTCTACCTTTCTTTGGGCACTTACTTAGAGGTAGGCTTAGATATAGTTAGCTATGATGATTTGGGTAAGATCATGATATGGAGATTGTTCTCCATGGACTTACAGGTTTAGCCTGGGGCATTGACATGTCATGTGTTACAGGTCCTCTTGATCGTTTGATTCAAGTTCCGGACTAGATTCTGTTTGATCCCTTGAGGGTCATCTTCTGTTATCATTGATAACAGGCCGGTTGTCGATTCGTCGGTTTACTATTCAACTCCAATCCACTCTTGTCACTCAACCTAAAGGCTTTAGCCCTGTGGTTTGAATTGTTTCATTGTGTTTTCACCCGGACTTTATTGAATGGTCATTTAACAAAAGTACTGAGTATTTATTTTTTTGGGAGTTGCACAAGAGTGAGGTTTGTATGGCTAAAGCGAGGGGTATGAGCATAGAGAACGGTTGAAGTTGACCCCGTGTAGCGCTTGAACTTTTGTTGGATCTTTGATGTGATTGCAAGTGTGTTTGTGGTTCGGACTCTGGATTTAATTGTCTGCGATCACATACAAATATATGGCTGAGAGGGGTCACACTGTGACTGTGAGAAGTGATCGTCCTATATTAATAACCCTCTATACATATGTGTATATATATGTCTTGAGTGTTTCGTGCTGCCTATTGTGACCGCACGTAAGGGTTAAACAGATTATGCATTTGAGAGAAAAGGGAGATCCTCTTTTATCCTTTGCTTTTTAGAAATTTTTATAGTCGGACGTTGGTCCTGGGCCGGGATTCAAGGTCCTTGTCCAGGACATCCCAAGCCCTAGACTCTGCAGGGAAGGAATCTGCCNGCTGGCCTTGTACGTAAGAGGTGACGAACAGGTGGGGCTTTCCTTCTTTTTCTTTTTCTTGTTTTGTCTTTTTCCGCCTTTGCGCTCCGATTTCCAATGTGACAAGGCCTTTTGAGAGGCGGGGCGGTGCCTGTATGTGGGAATCGTCATCCAGGATTGTCTTCTCTTTTTTTCTTGGTTGTCACACTGTGGATCGTCGCTTTTTTATGTCTTGTCCTGGGTGGTCTTGTCCCTCTGTTTGGCCTTTGACGGAGCGGGCGTTGCTTGCATGTGGGACTTGTCATCTGGGATCTGTCTTGTTTCCCTCTGTTCTATTTGTTTCATTTGGCTGTTCCCTTCCTCTCTTCTTTGCCTGGGYGGTGCTTGCATGTGGGACTTGTCATCTGGGATCTGTCTTGTTTCCCTCTGTTCTATTTGTTTCATTTGGCTGTTCCCTTCCTCTCTTCTTTGCCTCTTTGCCTTTTGGCTGTGTGCAAGTGGGTCGATATGACACACGGGGGTGGGGGCAGCCGCCGCTCAACCTACATCCACGTGGGCGGCCTTGTACGCAAGAGGTTCTGAACAGGGGGAGTTGTAAGGAAGAAGATTAAAAACGAATTTAAGATTTTTTTGTTTTTTTGTTTTTTTCGCTTAGGGGCTCTGATATCATGTGACAATATATACCTTCTTTTCCTTTCCTTGTTTTGCTTTTTTTCCCCTTCGCGCTCTGATTCACAGTGTGACAGTATACGTATCCGAGCGAGGCGATCAGTC